GTAGATTGGCCTTTCAACAATCTGTTGCTGAAGAAGGACGTGAGGACGTGCTACGCTTCTGGTCGATAATGAGCAACTGGTTCACTGGTTTTGTTTGAATAAATTTCGAGTTTCTCATCCAAGTGGTTATTTATTTTATTTATTATTTAGTTACTCATTCATTAATTCAGAGAGAAACATTACTGGTATATTTCGTCGGTCTTTGAATTTTTCCAGTCCATTTACGAGCGGCGCCCTCGTAGTGGAATAACTAGATTGTACCGGTCTCCGTGCTGGAGGTCCAAACCTGCATGAGCAAGTAGACCGCCGACCTCACTAGCAGTGAAGGTGGGAACGGTCAAGCGGGGTGCCAGGTACTCAGGTCTTCTCCCACGCAGCTCAATAGTTCTGTTGGTACTTTGTTGGTTCTTTCTCGCTCTAGACTTCTATATGAAGTCGAATTCAAATCTGGATATCTATGTACGTGTACAACCCATATAGATATCCAGATTTGTGTTTGGCTCTATATAGGGGTACACCAAGCCCAAACTGGAGTTGATCGAAGAGAAATCTGATCGTTCCGTACCGAAAACTCGCTCCCATGCATAAGGCTGGGAGACTTTCAATCGGTGCAACGACTCTTATGAACCTTCAAATGCTTGGCGCAACTCCAGTGAAAGTAACCATCACTACCTTTTTCTGAACCCCTTCCCTGCCCCCCTCCGGCAAGTTACTGGTTCTGTAATGGTGTAGCCGTTATAACTCGAAGTGCGAGTCACCCAAGACTGGCTTTACTACTTCCGGCGGGTTTCCGTTTCCGGATTGGCGTCGTAGGAGAACTTTGATAGATTCGTTTTCATTTCCACCCCGCAAGCTTCGGATTTGATCTGTTTTGGGTGCTTAGCGGAGTATTCCCATGATTCTACGATGTTTTCAGTGATGTCGTTCCAACCGGCGTTCAATGCTAGGCTGATAGCAGAGGTGAAAAAGCATCCATGTCTCTACAATCATTCCAAAAGAGGAAGTGGAGACACGATGGAACGGATGCGTATATGGGATATGATTGCCGCTGCTGTGGATAGTAATTGTTCAGGTAAGTAATTGTTTTCCCTGGGAAGGTGACATACCGGGGTAAGCCACTGGATTAGAGGGTGTCACTGGAGCTGGTGATAGAAANAATCACAGGGACAGAGACTGCCACTATAACCGAGATTGGGAGTTTACTGGAACTGGGAATAAAAGGCCGTAGGAGTAGTACACCGGCACCAAGTCTTCATTGGGGTGATCCATCCTCTTCCCAGCCCCTCCCCCTTCTTTTCTTCCAAACATCTGGGTCACAGGACTCACTTAGCCAAGCTAGATCCCATCTTTTCAGGTGATTTTGCCAAAAAGCGCTGGCTTCAGCTACGAGATCGCTATCGGAAAGAGCTGAAAACGGCAATCAAACATAACTTTGTAACACCGATTCGATGGTGTTACTTTTCGCATCTGTCTTGGCTTGACCCTTACCTGAAGGACAATCTGTAAGTACTGTAGACTGAGATACTGTAAGGGTTCCTCCCACCCACTTATACAGCGACATTAGGGTGCTATCAGCCTGTGACGGTTACGGAGACAACAGTGATGGCTACTCAAACTGTGTCGATGGTCTATCGTTGAACAACGTGAAGGCAGAATTGGATGACGGTATGTCTGACAATTTCATTACCGTACCCTCAATTCCTTTCAAGGTTACGGTGGAATTCCAGGTGATTGTGAACAGTCACCGTCACTAATGGAAGCTTCGGTGATCGATCGGCTTCTGGCATCGACTCATCAAATAAGCAGACAACAAAAAGGTATTTAGTGCGGTTACAAAACCATACCCGAAAAGTTTGTTTCTGCCAGGAAGACTGTACCCAGATCTTACTTTCTAGTCGTTTCAGACCCCAGTGATGACCAAAGCTTGACTGCTCATGGAGGGGAAGAAGAACCTAGACTTATCGCCGGCAAAAGCGAAGATACGGCTGCTCCCAAGGAGCCGAGTGAGAAAAAATGCGAAAGAACCGAAGCGACGATTCAGGTGCGCTTCGATGGACCATGTGGACAGATAGAATGAGTTGACATTGAAAGTATCGCTTGCAGATGTCACAGCCTTTCTCGACTTCTGCTCTCAAAACTCAGATGATGGCCCGTTACCAGCAGATGGAACAAGCCGTGATCAAGCAAGCCATGAACGTAAGTGACAGGCTTTTTT